GAAATCTGCTCAGCTGACACGGAAAAAAGAGCTTTGATTGTCGCCATGGCTAATGATCTTGCCTATGTTGTTCAGGCAGTGGTAAGCCTCCTTCCACCTGACAATCATACCTACGAAAGCTTCTCACGTTTTACTCTGCACAGGCACCAAACTTTGTGTGGAAAACCACGGATTTCCCAGCAGCCAAGAAAGGCTATCTTTGGTCCATCATATTGCAGATATTACTCAGTGAGTGTTGTGCATTGCAGTATTGTTTGAAAATAGCGGAAGATGGCAACTAATTCAACTCTCCAGTGCTCGTTACTGCTACAGTTCAATTCCTGCTTTGGTGGGATAGGAAGAGGGAAACTCAAAGCCTCGTGGCGGTAGAGCCGATTGCGGATTCTGATGCGGACTCGGGTCCAGCAAGCTTTGACCATGGCTCGGTGGATAGAGGGAAAACCCCCCAAACCCAAATCACAGTCTTGAGCTCGATGTAGTGTATTTTAAAGGAAAATTGACCTCCAGAATTCTGTTGAGGCGTGTTTTACAGCAGAAACTTATATTAAATAAACAAAAGATACTTATTAGGGTTTAAATATATCCTTAGTAATGCCAAGAATAATTTGAAATTATTCTTGGCACAGCTTAACATGACCGAAAATAAGGGAGTTTCTATTTGTTTAGTGCGAGACCATACTGAGTCTATTTCAGACCACGCTGAGCTGTAAGCCCGCCTTGCTGCCTTGGGGAAAAGTCATCCATCAGGTGATGAATTCATCCTGGTCGGTGTCCAGTCCCAGGCGGTGAACGTACAGTAGCAAGCTGTAAACTTACCTCAGGCGCACCGTCAGAAGTAGACGATCTCATTATCGATTGCTTCTTTCACGCTCTCCCGAGCCATGAAAGGAGTAGCCTTCATTTGCATGAGTGACGACAATACAGCCAACCTGCCTCTTTGTCCATTCTTGGCTCTTGCATTACTTGCTAGTCTAAATTAGAAACAAGTTGGGACAACCATAGTGTAGTTGATAAAATGCATAGGTCAGCGAACTGAGACATTCCCCTGAGATATTCTTATATAACTTTCTTTGAAAGGTTATAAACTCTAGTTCACCCAAATAGCTTCTTATTCCTACATATGTTATTACAGAAGTATATAACTCTACATCTCAAGTTTCAGATGTTGGACCTGAGGTACTTTGTAGCATAGGTAATCTAGTTATATTACCAAGTCTATTAATCTCACTAATTCAATATTGTATATGTTAATGAATTCAATGCTTTCTTATAAAGGTACTTTTAGATGGCTTTATATTATTGATCTACTTGTCAGGAACAAAGCCCGACAATTAATCAAGGAATCGCCCACGAAACACTGCAGATACGTGTATAAGTGACATCGGGTGCCTATATCCACAGCACAGACTAGTCATTAAGAAATCAGTCGCCTAACGATATATGATTCCATTCATACATAACAAAAAAGGGTAGAACCGCTATCAACGACCTCACAACTATGACACCCGCTTTGTTATGTCATCCTATCATATTTCAATTTAGCCTCTTAGGATAATTTAGCTAGATAACAGACATGTAATCTTATACAAGAAAGGTCTTGCTTATCTATATCAGAAATCTACTCTATAAGCATTAATCTATCATTATAAGAAAGCTTTTTTTTTTTTTTTTTTTTTTTTTTTTTTTTTTTTGGGATACGCGAGTGGTATAGTATGAGGATATACTTATTATTGGGGCTACATCTGTACCTTAGCTGACTATAAGTGATCCAGAGATCAAATTGTGCAGTCAGCCAATTCCAGCCAAACCCCGGATCTTATGTAGTATCAGCCTAACTAATATACTTAGCATGCAAGTCTAGCTAACCTCTGCCTGTTACTAAGATGGTTACCAGATCTGTCCAGGATACTAAGAGGCAGGAATAGAAAACCATCGATTGGGCTTAGAAAGAACAGATCATTCTAGAGGTGAGGCTTCGCCCTGGGACTGAGAGAGCCTGGCTTATTCTATCTCAGCCTCTGAGGAGAGACGTGGCCTTAACAAAAGGCTGCCAACCGCAAACAACCCGAAGTTCGCATATATACCTAGCCTTGCGACACAAGAATAATGAATGAATCAGCGTCGGAAATATTTTAGCGGGTGACCTAGCTCTCCCCGCAGCCCACTGTCAGACTACGCTTGGTTTGATTCACCCCGGTTAAAGTCATCCTACACAAGAGAATATATCGCACATGTATGCGCTGGTTCCAGGATGCAGTAACGTAAATAAAGACGCTAACAATTGTTGGGTGGGTTCCAGGAGTAGTTAGACCAAACAACGCGCCATCTTGACCTTTTTTGGAGAACAGCACCACATCTTAGTTACTGATACCTCATCATAAGTCGCCAGGAAATGCCAGTAACGTTTGGAGTTCCGTACTGTATAACAAGAAGGCCAGGTCATTCGTGGATACACGACTTTGTAATAGGTTGACGGAGTCAGCCCCTACTCTCCCTGATGGGTTCCCACTCCCCAGTCGATTCCTACTGGGTAGTAGGCTCATAGAGTTAGGTATATTTTACCAAGGGTTTAGCCCCAATCTTGTTTATGCTTGGCTAGGCAGGACCTCGGGAAGTTGATGGCTTCTGCATTCCGACCTGAGTATTTCCAGCTATAAGCGAGATATACCATCCTCTTCAGCGAGTCCGGATGGTCCACGCCGAGGTTCGCCCTGCCTTCATCACCTACACAAAGAACTGCTCGGCCAACTCCCGGTGGCCTTTGACCTCCAAAGTAGTCTTCGCGACCTTTGGCCAGTGTTTCTAACAGCGTTCACTGAGCCTACGGCTTGCTACAAGAAATAAAGAAACATAAGCCTGCAGTACATACGTCTTGTATGAGCGAGGAACTGTGTTTATTCAGTAGATCAGTGAGTACATAATCATGAACATGATTTCTGAGTAAGAAAAGTTGCTGCAGGGAACCGGTGAAGAATCCCCACTTCCCCGCCTCCACTAACTGCAGCCCTTTTATCCGCCTGCCGTCCATTTAGCCAAATGTAGACCATTTAGCCAAGTGCGGTCCATTTAGCCAAGTCCAGTGGCTAGATTGGTGGCTACACAGGAAACGCATGACTGTAGACACAACTATAGAACTGTCTCTGGAAGTAGGCTCGAGGTTGTTCAAGCGTTTAAGGTGATGCGGCAAAATGCATATGACTGGGCTGCTTCATCGTGCAGGGGATAGGGATAAATAGTCTTTTTCGTAGAATTTAAATAGAGATAGAGTGGGCTCGCAGCAATATTGATCAGCACAGTGCTTCTCTTCCAGTTGCATACATCTATTCACCAGCATTCAGCTTTCTTCAATCATCATGAAGGTCACTGCGGCTTTTGCAGGACTTTTGGTCACGGCATTCGCGGCTCCTGTCCCGGAACCTGCTCTGGTGTCGCGAAGTGCCGGTATTAACTACGTTCAAAACTACAACGGCAACCTTGGTGATTTCACCTACGACGAGAGTGCCGGAACATTTTCCATGTACTGGGAAGATGGAGTGAGCTCCGACTTTGTCGTTGGTCTGGGCTGGACCACTGGTTCTTCTAAGTGAGTGACTGTATCTATTAACCAAAGTCTAGGATCTAACGTTTTTCAGCGCTATCACCTACTCTGCCGAATACAGCGCTTCTGGCTCCGCTTCCTACCTCGCTGTGTACGGCTGGGTCAACTATCCTCAGGCTGAGTACTACATCGTCGAGGATTACGGTGATTACAACCCTTGCAGCTCGGCCACAAGCCTTGGTACCGTGTACTCTGATGGAAGCACCTACCAAGTCTGCACCGACACTCGAACAAACGAACCGTCCATCACGGGAACAAGCACGTTCACGCAGTACTTCTCCGTTCGAGAGAGCACGCGCACATCTGGAACGGTGACTGTTGCCAACCATTTCAACTTCTGGGCGCAGCATGGGTTCGGCAATAGCGACTTCAATTATCAAGTCGTGGCGGTGGAAGCATGGAGCGGTGCTGGCAGCGCCAGTGTCACAATCTCTTCTTGAGAGATACGTGCCTTCGTAGTTGGAAGATATCAACGCGGAGCTTTGTTCTCAGGTGGTGTGATGATCGGACCCGGCCTCTGGTGTTTACATTGAGGCTGTATAAGTTGTTGTGGGGCCGAGCTGTCAGCGGCTGCATTTTCAACTTGCACAGATAATCAACTCTCGTTTTCTATCTCTTGCGTTTCCTCGCTGTTTATCCTATCCATAGATAATATTTTGCCCAATACATATTATCTACATACAACTTGTTCGGTCGCAGTAGTCACTTCGAGCAAGGCATTGGGAATTGGGGGATGCGAGGTGCTGCGTACGCTCTAACCTAGGGCATTTAAAGGATATTTAACCTCCAGATATTCTATACTAACAGACCTCTAATGACTGCGGAAAATATGGAAGGCGAAAATTTCTACAGTTCGACGCAGTTCAATGCAAACAGAAGGGGAATAAGTAATGAGAGTGCAAACAATTACAGAAGGACAATATGGCAGCCTTAGTGTGGACTTACATAACGATATGGACTATAGAAGAAAGTGAGGAAGTCCGTCTATATGTAGTGTCACTACGTGTATCCCCCTCTGCATAATTCTATTTGTACTCTCCCTACTGTGAAAAGCTGGAGAAGTAAACCGATGTAATTAGCCAAAAAGTCTGTGTCATGGTCAAAGGGCTTTTTTTTTTTTTTTTTTTTTTTTTTTTGTTTTCTTGACAAGAGAAAGAAGCCTATCTATATTTGAGACATTACAGCAACGGAGAGGAGGGTCACCTGACCCTACAGCCTTGCTGTCTGTATCTCACCAGGGTGGGTGGCTTTAGATTGGCTAGCTTCCCTCAATCCAACACTTCCCAAGCTCCACTGCGGGGTTCAAAGGAAGACGTTCTCCACCACTGCTCCCAAAACAGAATGCTTTCTGCGCAAGCCTGATTCCCTGACAGTCTCGCTCTGATCCACTGACTCGAATAATATGGTCGGGGTGCCCAGTCGATTTGCCGGATGTGCGACGTGTCGCAGGAGGAAGAGAGGCGTATGTTGAACCCCGGGGATGTTACTAGTCTCTCATGCTGATAGCCCCCACTGGGAAATAGTGCGACCGCAAGACCCCTTTCTGTACCCAGTGTGTCCAAGCTCGGCTCGTCTGCGAGGGATACTCTCGTAACTATTCAGTCTGGATCAACTCCACAGATGGCGAGAATTGTAAATACACAGAGTATACCGGCAGCGTACAATCGCGTAGACGCAGGGCTCCAGAAATTACTCTACACCAATCGCTGGCGGGAACTGCGCGAGAGGTAATGTACGTTGGTCTTTATCTCTCGGCGTTTCTACCGAACGGTCGCCTTTTCTCCAAGGAGGCAGCGCAGATATCCTCTGCCGGGTGGTTACGACATCTAGACAAATTATGTCAGTCTGAGAAGACTCTTCGCTTCGTCACCCTTGCTCACGGGCTTTCAATGCTTGCTACGAGAGACAATGACAGCCAGCTGAAGCTCAAGGGTGTCCAGGCACACAGCATGGCGCTGCAGGAAATGCGCACTGCCCTGCGGGATCCACAAAGGGTCACCAGCGATGGGATTTTGGCCGCTATTCGGCTGTTCCGTTTTCATGAAGTAAGCTGTGCTTCCCATGAAACCGGTCAAGTCACTCATTCTTCTCAGATTCTCTATGGCGCCGAATCCAGTGGTTCACATAAAGAAAGCCCAATTCTCCAAATCAGGGGCTACTACGCCCATACTGAAGGTGAAATGGCCTTGTTTATGAACAGGGGCCCGCAGAGGGAATGGAGCGAAGCAGGAATGTACTTACTTGTAAGCGGTCGGATTGTGTCAGTAGGTCTTTCCCCACCGATTTCCCTCCACGGATGGTCCATGCTCACTAGTATATGTGTAGTTCATTCTAGGGGTGGGACGAAGAAAGCGTTCGCCCTTCAGCGACAGAGACTGGATGTCAGCACCCTGGAAACACAGAAAAAAGTCCCTACTTGACGGCCTCAGTGACATCCTGATCCAAGTTCCGGCCTTATTGGAAGAGCTGGACGCCATTAGAGCATGTCCCATTGCGGAGCGCAGTCCAAATGCCTGGGGCAACTTGCTCGGTGAATGTATCCGCATTGAGCACCTGTTACTTGCCTGGAAGGAAACCATGGGAGACCAGCTGCAGACCTTTGATTACACCAAATCAGGTTATCACTCCCAATTGCCACGGGTAGACAGGGACTTTGCACTGTTGCATATAAGCTGCCTCTACTGGAGCTGCTGTATCCTCCTATACACAACAATTCATATGGCCACGATCGAGGGGCATCAGAGTCTAAGCGTCACATACTTCTTGACTATTCCCTTTTCTGCACCAGGATACCCCAACTACCATAATGAGAGAAATCCCACATTACACGCCCACAGGATACTTCACACAATTCCTCTATCCCATGGGCCTTATGCCGGTGGCTATGGGGCACTGTGTTCAACGTTTCCACTAGGCATGGCACTCCGTTATTTTGCGGTGGCCCATTTTCTCCCGCACGAGGGTGGCATTCCAGGAGCGCACAAGCTTTTACACCGGTTGCTGGCACAACCTTTCATGAAGGCGTATACCGCACGTTTTGTTGGTCATCTACATAATATTGACGTACCGGGGCAATCTCTAAAAGACACAGCGGGATGGCATGGAGTAGAACTGAAAATGAGAAGATGGTGGTTTGGCCCTATGCTTGACCACAACCCGGGTGCTACATAGAAATGTACGCTACGGTCGCGCACAATAACCTCCATGAAGCATAGTTCGTTCTTCAATGTAGCTCAGCCTACTACCTGACAAAGCTTCTCCAACCCTTGGATATCTATATTGGAGATGGATAGAGCGCGTCTCGGCTCCCATAAGGCGTATCAATCCTCTGTATTGTGTATATATCTGATCCCAATTTTGCAATGGCTGTGTCAGTGCGCTGCTATTTTCATCCACCTAGTGAGATGCAACACATATACGCCGCCACCTTGCTCTGGGTACATACGCATCTCCATGCAATAAAGTATTCATAAACCCTTTCCTACCACATACTGTTAAGGCCATTGATTCAAAGTATTACTTCATCTTGGCTAACATTTTACTTGCTCGTTAATCCATAATGGTAGCACAATCGTGACCTGTGACTACGGCAGTCATCGCCATGATATAATAAATCTACTGGCTTCCAAAAGAAGCTACAACTTCAATGCTTTATTGGGTTGTATCTATCCAATGCGGTCTTGCGGGGTTAGTGCTCGCCAGTCTCATGTTCATTGACTTCGGTGGTGTTAATGCTGGTGTTGTAATGATAGCTGCGCCATGGAGACTGCTAGATATTGTCCAAAGTCCTATTTGAATAATAATATAATGTATTATGTGTTCATATATATTTCGGCTACTCTCCTCGGGTCTGTAAAACTTCAAGTATCATTGGGCACACAATTGTTGTCTCTAACACGGTTTTGGCCATGCTATTATCTTACTCAGCTTGGTGGATATAGTTGGTTCTGTTGTTGTGGCTATAGTTCTAGCTGGAGAGGTATTCTGACTGTGACGGTGGTGGGACTTTTAGTTATCCTATTCCTTGGACACCGGTATCTTGTGTATTATTATATTAGGAATATCTAACTCCAACAATTCTGGACTCGTGTGAGAGACATGTGGGTTAATATATGGTTCTGCTATTCTAGCCATCTTTGCTGACAACTAGCTTCATGTCCTGACTATCGCTCTCAAAGCTGTATATGAACAATATTCTCGTTGTGCTTACATACCTAAACTTTGAAGCATCAAAAGCTGTCTGTAACGCGGGTCTCCTGACAACAAGCTCGAATGACCTGGTGGGGCTTTGTACGGGATGAAATAATATCTTTTCCTCTTGGCACCTGCGGGCTATTCCCCATCAGGAACCAACATGCGCTTGGCGGATTACAGATCGACATGAATGCGCCTCATCTCCGAGAAATAAGAGCTTAAGGGTCCAGTGCAGTTAGCCCCATCAAACCTCGTAGTCGCCTATCACTTACTTTAGAGAGTGGGATCCGTGCCAAGCATCCTGTTGAAATCCTCACCAACGTCCGCGCGGCCGTGAGTGGAGATTTAATTCCGCTCTCAAGGAAGCATATTATGACCCAATCTACACTTCCAAACTTTCCGCTTCCCACAGACCGGGACATAATGCTTAAATAATAACGTATGGCCGGATTGATTTGCTTGATAGGGGAGGTTGTAATGTTGTCCAGGCTTAACAACCTGCAGTCACATTCTTTGTTAAGCGCCGTTTGTAGACAGCTGGTCCCGTGGGGTTGATGGGGCAGTGCTCTACGGTTTTAGCACTAGAATTCAATCATTATTCTGTGCCCCAGTTCATATCTTTGGCTACAAATTAGTTCATTATGTGTCATATATACATGAAAGGACTCTTTCGTTTGGAACCAGCTTCTTCTGTGACTTGTAATAAGATCTACATCACTCTTATACTTCCATTCCATCGCATACTTCTTGGTATATGCTTTAACGATATATAACAGGCTCTTTGTGTTTTGTAGCTAATCATTGTTCTTCTCATCGAAGCAGATACATAAACCAGCCACCAGTGCCATATCCACACCAGGTGCCACAGTCACGTTGTAGGTGTCCTGGCCAAACAGAATATGACGAGCGGTAAAACGTTTCCTGGAAATGCGAGCGACTAGTTCTCCAGTACTTTCAATCACGATATGGGCAGCACGATCGTTCCAGTTTCCTTTCATTGTCAAAAAGACTTGCTTGCCGTACCGGTCAGTATAGGTGGCAGTGGCTTTCGACCCAATGACTATAGCTGTTAGTTTAACAGTGAGACTGTGTGTAGGGGTTCTTACATTTGTGACTGCTCCTGATCTCGCATATCTTGTTACCACCGGGATCTTCCATCACATATGTGGTATGAACGTGCATATGCTCTTTGCGAATATCGAATAGATGGTTGCGATCCATGTCTTCGACTTTCTTACGCCCGGAAACTGATAACAAAGCACCAGTTACTTTCAAAAGTGGCACCCCATCTCCAAACGTAATATCGAAGCTATCCCCAGAAAAAGAGAGCACCCTTTCCTTCAGGACTAGGACTTGAGTATCCGTTGCAATGAACCTCTCGCTTAACACAATAGGCTCGGACACCGGCTGCAGGTAGGGCTCAGACATGATGAATATCAGGTATGTTTAAGCGACATAGAAAGGATGATGAAAAGATGTGACCGCAGCAATATCATTGTATTTATATATACTTGTATGAGTGCTTACTGCCAGCCTGGCGGCGTACGCGAGGCTGTTCTCGACTTGGCGTATCTTCTTGGGGGCCGGAAAGCTAACCCAATCTAGTTTTATCCTGCGGTTAGCACATCTCTACGAAGGCACTAGTTGCTACAGCCACACTAGTCAGGCTGGAAAACCATTTCTACCTTCTACAAGCCCTTTTTTCCGTTTTCCTACGGTCGGAATTGATAGATTAATAATGAGAGCATCCGGATCCGGATGTCATATATCAACCATGGCTGCAAGGCTCTAATCTTCATGCCTCTGTGAGAGCTCAGTTATGCCATGATTGGTAGGATCGTACGAAGAAGAATGATGTAAAATGTAACTCTTGGATAATTCTATAAAAAGGGGTCCTCTGAGATATCTATCTAGATACAAACAGCTTTGACTGGCGGAATATTACATATTATAAGACAGCTTTGAGACCTCAGTCATCTCATGCCTTATCATGTGACTGCTAGAGTGTGTATACTTGACCATTATACCTGATTATTGACCTGACTGCCAGTCAACAGTCAGGTGAAGCTATCAAAAATATTTATATTAATAATAATTTTATTGAAAGACTTGATTAGTATGTAATATATAACCTCAAGACTATTTATAAATATTTTATTGTTCATGAATAGAGACAGGATAGTTAGTAGCTTAACTTTGGAAAATTAATTTCTATATTTATATTTGTGATTAAGATATACTTCTCATACTATCTCATTATATTCACCCCTATAGGGATCACAATTTCCCTTACTATTCAATCTCCATTCAGAATAGTTAACTTAGTTCACTTTAGTCATTTCCAATATCCTTCCGCTGGTAGCTACACATTTCTTGCCTGAAAGAATGATAAAAGCTGAACATAGGCTAGCGATAGTCGTAGTCCTGGGATGGAGAAACAAATCATGGCATATCTCATATATATCATGAAACCCAGAGAAGCCTTTCCAGAATGCATTAAATGGATAAATTGAGATAAGCCCACAGACTGATAGTTGCGGACTTCCCTTTTTCAAATACTGGGTACTTGCAGCAAAATATTTGTATTGAACATTCTCCAAAGTTCTGCAGAGTTACATTCCGGTTGCCACAACTCTACCAATAATCTAGGTATCCGACTTTGAATACACTTCACTTCTGCAGCCTCCGCACAAACACTTATTCCTGTACTTCCTTAGTAAGTGGTTCGAAGGTAGGGTACTATACTATATACATAAAGCCAAATCTCCCTGGAGGTGACACTAGACCAATACAGAAAAGTCAAATATTAAGGACACGCGAATTCATAACGACCAACAAAATGGGCTATATAAACAAAAAAACACACAGGTTCAACTCCGGCACTGGCCCCGTTCTTCCGCCTCCGACCACATTTCAATGGTTATCGCATTGGTAGACGCAGTTGATAGTCACAAGGCACCCATCACCCCTATGGTACGAGCCGCACTTCTTACAGCCTCCGATCTTGCGGATGTTCTGATAGCCATTTCACATGTCGTTGCCACTGATACTGCAGTTCTGGCCTTGCAAAAAGACACCACAGCCGCGAGTCTGGTCTCCCCAGCAGTTCCCACTAAGCGAGTTGAAATTACTGAGTAGAATATTAAAGTTAGTCAATTTCTGGTTCAACGCCAACGGGAGACGGGTGGAAGCTTACTCGGCGGAGTGATATGTCGGATCATCATTGCGATACAAGGTATTCACGGCGTGATCGCACCATTTCAACATATCCGGGGCACTGCACATGGACGAACCCTTGCAATCATAGTCATCGGGAGCCGGCTCGAAGACGTTGGTGAGTGGATTGTAGCCTTGCGCCTGGACCACGACCTTGCTCGTGTCGGTAGTGGAGGTCCCAATTGGCAAAATCCAAGTGTATGTGTAGTCTGTGGTGGTCAGAGTAATGGGTCCGACAACTGACCAGGACCAAGGCGGAGCTGTGGAGCCTTCAGGAACGGTGCCACTGTACTTGTACAATGTCGTTCCCTCGACCATATACTGGGCACAGACGTAATCGTCTGTTTTGAAGTTGATACTCCACCCTGGATCAGTGTCAAACTCACATCCCACCGAGTCCCAGATGTAAAGACGGACGAAAGAATAAGGAACCAGTATGTCGGCGTGGACCGTAGTTGCCCCCTCGCTGGGCGATGCGTAGGCGTTCGTCACAGTCTTACCATCAGGAAGGGATGTGGTTTCCACCGTCACGGTATTCGAAGACGAACCCAGCTTCCCGCTGCCGCCCACGGCATTGACATGGAGTGCGTAGCTGGAACCGGGGTCAAGACCGCCAATTGTAACCGTCGTCATTGAGCTGGGGACACTTGCAATGAGGCTGTCACCGGAATACACATAGTAGCCAAGAGCATCTGAAGCTGCGTCCCACGATAGTTTAGCAAAGCTGTAGTCCGACGTCACAACTGTCAGTCCGGTCACAGCTCCTGCAGCGCTTCCAGATTCCCAGGATGCAGCGTCCGCGTTTAGTGGCGATCCACCGTCAATGGCATCCATCATGCTTTGGATGTATGAATCTGCAGGCAGAGTATCGTATGGGTTGGGTAAGGTGTCATCCGTAAGCTGCAGGAAGCCCGCTCCGCGTTCATTGGCTAACTTAGCTACCTCGCTCACTGCGGTTTCGGGAACATCATATACAATGTGCCAGAGTTTCCGCGGATCCTTGGGGGTCCACTCGTTAGGAGTATAAGAGTTGATGTAGGAGTCATAGCTCAGCTCGAAGGTTAACAATGTGTCCATGGTATCTTCGAAGCAAGACGCCATGGGCGATCCAGGGTTCAGCACGGTCAGCGCATCGGGATGAGCACGCTTGGTATAAGCATTGATGTACTTGTACAAGTCCACGTATTGATTGTTATCGCCACATTCGGGCCAGCCTTCATCGAAAAAGATGCCGCCAATACTGTCACCGTAAAGCTTATACCACATATCGACATCCTTTTCAATTTGTGCAGTCCAATCTGTCAAGTCACCGGAGCCCAGCCGAGTCTGGAACTTCTGGTCGCTCACACCAAGATACCCAGTACGAACATATCCGAGAACTGTTTTTCCAGCCGATGAGGCTCGCTGGATAACATCCTGCCAGTTGGTGTCGACGGACGAATCCGGACCGTTAACGACATTCGCAACTAAGATAGGCATCTTATCTGCGTCGTAGTCGATCAACCTATCCCAAGCTGCTGGATCACTAAGCGGGTTGATGTATGATGCTACGGCAATCTGCTGCCCTTGATCGGCTGATGAAGAACCTGTTGAATCCGGGCCAACAGCTGTCATGGTAGTGGTGAGTGTGGTGGTGAGGGCGGACTGGGCGTCGCAACTTGTGACAGTTGCACAGGATGTTGAACAGGCGTACTGAGGCGCCCATGACTGAATGCCGCACCCAACTCCACATTGCGTCGCCGTCTGCAGTTGACACGTTGTGGCACTAGCGCCACCCTGCAAAGATGCAGAGGGGATCACGTTGTTGGTCGTGATAGATCCGTGATTATAGTAGACCCATGACAGGGCGAAAGCACCGACAGCTAGTCCATGAAGATGCGATGGGCTAATTGCCGGATTCACCCGGGCGCCCTGAGTGAGAGCCCACTGCACAACGGTGTTCAAACCAGCTACGACCTCTGCGTTGGTCCAAGGGAACCTTCCCTGATTCATGAGGAGCCAGCCTGCATAACCATCACGGCCAACGTTATCGGAGAAAATGTTCTCAGCGCCGCAGATGACACTGGCCATATCCAACGACGTTCGAGACTGGATCGAAGAGGCAGAAAAGAAATCGGTGCCTACGTCGCATTCTGAGGAGTCGGAGTCGGAAAGAAGTGTCTGGAGGTGTGTCGCCACCGACGGGTCCAGCTGAATCCCCAAGTCTCCTTTACTCGCGCCATTGACAGCACTTGCAAATGTTGTGAATGTTGCTGGTAGTCCTGTCGCCTTGTCCTGCTCTGGAGGTGGTGTGACAGTCGGCTCTGAACTACCGTCATTGGTGACGACCACGATGGCGGTAGCAGTTTCCAGATCAAACGAGTCTTCCAATTGTTCTGGGAGGATCTTGATAGGTACCGGGACCACCTTATCCCCTTTGTAGAAGATCGAAAATAGCAAGGCAGCAATCAAGACAGCTCCGGCCAATAACAAGTCAATCTGTCGCGGCTGCAGTGCCCGCTCAGCCAGGCTGCGGGATTTGAGAGCCCGATCTGAGTCCTCAAGAAGGTCTAGTACCTCTTCGTAGCAATGCGAGTCAATATCGGTACCGCAATTGCTATCCATTGTGGACGTTAGGCTGGACTGCATTTCCGGTGACAGAAATGCAAGGAGGCCATTTTCAGCTGGATCACCCACGGCAGTGAATTCAATCGTGGATCCAGTGAGGGCGGGAGTAGGAACCTAGAGGGCCGTTAGAAACTTTGTTAAGAAGAGACGATTGTGTTCGGCTGTAACTCACTCCATCAGTGGTGTACTGGCTAAGGTCGCCTACGATAAAGTACTCGTCCTCCGCATCAGCATGTATGGCAAAGAGAGAAATGAGAGAGAGCGGAAGCAATGTCCGCATCCTCATTGTGTAAAAAAAGAAAAAAAAAAAAAAAAAAGGGCAGTCGAAAACGATATAGAGGGTTGGAAGAAAGATGATTTTCATGTACTGATGGATATATATATGCACTTCACTACGAAAGATCCATTTTTCCTCGCCCCTCCATACGACTGGTACGCAGTGGTAAGCCCCCGCCATTTCCTTGACTCTGGTCAACAGTTATCGTTGAGCAAGCGTATTATACGACAAACATGGGATAGTGAATCCAGCAGGTGCGAGGCGAAAATGAAAGTAAGACAAGTGGAGGCAATAAGTCCCTCATTTCTCGTGTCTTCTCCTCCTGCCTCTTAGAGGTACACTCAAGAGCCTTACTCTTCGGGTTACCATGCGACGTACGCGCTACGGTAACGAGGTGCTCCAAATCCTCTATTCGGGGTACGCTAGAAAACACTCACCAACGTTTTGAAAAGAGGAGCTGTCCATGGGAAATTGACCTATGCCAAGGGTCCATGAGAGCAGAGGTATCTGTCCTGCAATGACTTACTTTGCGGACGGTGGGGCGACCGCAGATTAAAGCCAAGCCCGTAGCCCTGAGGATGGATAGCAGATGCAAGTGAAGTGACAACTGAGGGTCTCAAGTCGTATGTCCTAGCAGTCGGCGATATTCTCTGACACAGCGAGTTCGGGCTTGTCCGGTGCCATCAATACCTGAGTTCTACCCAGTGGGGCTTTACTGCATTTGGTGCTTGCAGCTGCTCTCCGCCCCACTCCCGCTACCGCCTGCCCGGAGGCATAAACCCCAAAGATCCTTCTTTGCTATCCGTGTTACAATCTGAACCTGCCTATTTACTGCCCTCGCACATTCTCTTCCCATCTCTATACACACCCAGCATGGCCACCGGTGAGGCTTTCGTCGAAGCCTTTCATGATGCCTGCTTCGATGGTGACTTGCTGAAGACTCAGGAGGCTCTCGACAAGGGACAGCTCAGCGCTGAGGACCTCAGCGAAGGACTCAATCTCGCCACCGGTGAGGCTCACGCAGATATAGTGGCTGCACTATTTGATGCTGGGGCTCGAATGACAGCCGATTCGCCGAGTTTCTTTATTGGTGACAATGGCCGGCAACACCCGAGCATCATTCGTTACTATCTCGACCATGGTCTCGATCCGAACTGCAGCGTCTCTAATGGCGAGCCACTTCTACGGTATGTTCTGTTGGGCTTACTATTCACATCTACGGGACCCATCACTGACTACTGCGTAACAGGTTCATGAAAGACACTAAGTGTGCCGAAGAATTGCTCTCACGGGGTGCCGACCCCAACCGTTGTGGTCCTAAGGGAGTCAGTCCACTTACCTGTGCTCTTGGGAGCATCAGTGGAGAAGATACGGCTCTATTTGAGGCCCTTCTTTCACACGGGGCCAGGATGGAATCCACTCTTTTCTTCCATGCTATCCGACCGGGCGAGTCTCAGGGAGAGTTTAAGACAAAACTACTCCTCTCCAAGGGTCTTGATCCTAATGTCTCATCTCTGGAGTGGGGTACCCCACTTCACCGTGCTGTTTATTTGGCTAGGAGGGGCATTGTCAAGGTCCTATTAGATGCAGGTGCCGACAAGACCGCGCGATCTGATTGCAGACAATTCCGTAATCAAAGCCCTGCGGAAGTAGCTGAGTGGACGATTAAACGTTACCCTAACTCTCCTGACTTGTGTTCCTCACTCGAAACTATCCTCGAGCTTCTTCAATCTCACGAGCGCTAGAATACAGCTTGTAATTTAACTTTGTTCCCTTATATCCCATCAAGCTTAATGAGAGAGGAAAGTTGTACACCACGATGGAAAGCCTACCTGGCCTGGTGAGGTCTATGGAATTCTCGACAACACACTCCACCGGCCCTTCAATCCCCTACAAACTAGTAACTAGTATTTGGGGCGAAGCGCAATGGCGCCTTTGCCAGTCGCGAGTAACCTTCACCGACCAAATGTATGGTTAGCGTTCTTAGCTTGGGTTCTTGATATTCACGTTGTACTCTACCATGGTTCATCAATTGGGTCCCCTATACCATGACAATTATACGGATCTTTACTAGCGCACCTGGCCCTGGGGTTCTGGCGCTGTGACCAACACGGAATATTGCCGAGCTGACGGTGATTACTCGAAATGGTATATTAACCCCGTAAACTATCACTCAAGCAATGTTCTGTTAACATAGTAGTGTACAGAATCCCTTCATATATGAGTATGTGTTCTCATAAGGGACTTCTTTTTCTCATTGAAGAACAAACATATCAGTAACCATAGAGCTGACCAAAAGCTTTTACGAAAGTGAAATACTTTGGAAAATTATTCATTATCTAGACTGGTACCCGGCAACACACACACACAATCAAGCAAGCTGAGAGAGCTGGTTCAACCTGTCTCCTAATCCAGTGTCTGTATATTGCAAGCAGCGAACACAAAGAGCAGGAAACATTATCAAATCCTAGCATCAATCATGGATATCAACTCCCTAACATAAGCTAATTGATCTCTTCTATCTAATACATCAAAATCATGTTATCATATTCCAACAACATTTCAAACATCTATACTACTCTATTCTATATACAATCTAGACCCCCCTCTCCTCCATTACCCGTCTCAACACCAGCTGCAACCCATTCACATACTTCGCTCCCAACATATCCGCATGCCTCCCCTCACACTGATGCACCACCATCCCCCTCCGGGATAACCTCTCCCACTGTTTTAAATACCTCTCCACCCAACACCCCCGATCATCCGTAACCGTCATCAAAAAGTCGACTATAAACACATCCACCATCATCTCTACCCTCCCACCAGGGGTATATCCCTTAGCCGCACGCGAGAATCCATTGATAATATCCATCACATGCCTCAGCCCCGCCCTATCCAACCGCAACACTTTCAACCTCTCCGGATTCACCTCTCCCAGAATCACATCCAATACATGCTCCGCATCCACATCTTTCAACTCCGGCATAAGCGCCACGCACCTCGGCTCATCAATCAGTTTATAGAAATACCCCACCATCACCAGTCTCTTGTTCCAGGTCAACCGACCCACCAAGTCCGCAATATCAGGCGGCCTGTCCAGCACACCCAGGAATCCTACCTCCTCGCCGGCCGACTCGAGTCGCTTGGCAATCTCGAAGACGATGCTGCTGCCTAAGAAATACCCGGCGAGAGCATACAGGCCCGAGGGTTGCGTGCGCTTCATGGCGGCGGCATAGATATCAGCCATTTCGGCGATGGTGGCGAAGAGCGGCTCACCGGGCTGTACACCGCGAGAGCGGAAGGCGTAGATAAAGCAGTTATGAAAGGCTCAGGCGAGATTGGCGAAGATAAGGACATTACCGAAGACCGGGTGGACAAGCCATAAGGGGGTTTTGGGGCCGGAGAGTTGCAGGAGAACAACGGGATCATATTCATTGCGGGTGTTGTCTTCTGGCTTTGGAGAGAAGGCGGTGGGTTGCTTGGAGGCGAGGCGGTGGGTGAGACCGGCGATGGTCAGGTCCATGAGAAGATCAGGGACGGTGAAGGCCATTCCAAACATCTGCTGCAAGTCCAGAGTGACGGAGTAGAAATCAAGCAAGGAGAGACCCAGGCTGAAGAGGTTGGTAGTCACACTGACAGAGTCTGGGTCCGTGTTAAGACGCGCGCAGATAAGAATAAGAATGATTTCCTCAGTGGGCGAAGATGGGGCCTGACAGTGCACTTGGCAGTACACTTGGATACTGGTCTCGTGGGCTTTGCGTTCGGAGTCGAGGGCGCCGGACTCGAAAAGACACCAGAAGTAGAATCAGAAAAACTTGCTGACAGAGGTTCTTTCAAAGTAGCTGTATAGAAGAGGGAGTATAGCGGTGGGCGTAACATGGACAACAAAACTAGCGATGCGTTCAATGGCTTCGGTAGTAGCAACGCGGGCTGCGGCATCGTCCGGAAGGTAGCTGGGCAGGTATACTACACAGTAGGACTCAGTCAGGGCGTCAGGGGCTCAGTGGGCGAAGACCAGCATGAAGCTCAGAATCAGACCGAGAATACGCGTCTGTTCGAGACTGTTCTCGACCTCGACGGCAAAGATAGTCACACCGTTGAGGAGGAGCGTGTCTTTGGAACAGCTGGTGATGTACAGCCGGCCGTGCGCGTCCAGATAGGCGTTGTCGCCCGCGATAAACCAGCCGTCGGAGGTCAAGACCGCACGCGTGGCCACTGCATCACAGTAGTATTGGTTAAAGATTACAGCACCGCGCAGCTGCAGCATGCCCTCCTCGCCGGCAGCCGCCTCGCTCTGGTCAGTCTCCCGCAGCACGCGCATCTCCACACCGGGGATGGGCCGACCGCAGGACATGAACTCGCCCGCCGTATTATGGAGAAGGTCATCCACGGTGTGGTCGACCAGGTCCCAAGCCATGCCAGCACACGACTCAGTCAAGCCGTAGCCGGAGCAGATAAAGGGCTGGACGCCGTAGGGCTCCAGTGCACAGAGAAGCTGCACCGCCATCTGCCGCACAGTAGCCTCGCCGCCGGAGAAGACACAGCACAGGCACGAGAGGTCCCAGGTCAGGATAGGCTGCGCCTTCTGCTCCGGCGTGGGGTGACAGACGAGATCGCGCAGCAGGGCCAGGAAGAAATTAGAAACAAAGATAAGGGAGATGCGATGCCGATTAACCAGGTCAAGAAAGCAGCAGGGCTCGGCCACCATCCAGTCAGTAACTATCTGAATCTGCTCAGCCTCAAGCAGCATGGCCTGGAGGTACATCTCGACCAGATTGACAGCATAATCAAACGCGACCTAGCTCATTAAAACGTCCTGAGAGGTGGCCTTGCAGTGCGCAGCTTTACCGGCCGCAGCAGCTAGCATCTGTGACTGGCGGAGACACACGGCTTTGGAGAAGCCGGTGCTGCCAGAAGTAAACATTAAGACTCCGAGATCATTAGCCCGTTGGTTGCGATCCACCATCAGGAGCGGAGTGGAGGCAGATGAGGAGGTCAATACAGATTACTAATCCACACAATTCAAACACGGGGTGTCGACACCCTGAAAGGCACATTCCATACGGCTGTTGGTAAGCACTACGAAGTCATCCAGTAGCTGCAGAATATATTTAGCCTGGACCATGCGACGGCCAGTGGAAACTGCAAGCTTAGGAACAATACATGGCAAATAGCCCGTGAGAGTACAGGCCCAGAACCAGCAGATATTTTCCTCATAGATATCAAAATATAACAGAAACACCGTGTCCCGCTGCAGGCCTGGCACCGAGGTTTGCAGCCAATACACATCGTAGCGAGCCTGGTCAAGCAGCTGCCGATAGGAGACCTGCTTAGCAGCCTCTGAATATAGACTCGAAATCTTGTAGAAGGTAATGCCCGCAGAAATAATTACAGCTTGCTGCTGCAGCTCGAGCAGACTGGTGGCCTCGTGTAAAGGCAGGGTCTCAGGGACAACTTCTAATATATAGCTCCGACCCGGGTCTTTGTCCAGCCCTAAGGCGTCCGGTGAAGGAACAGGATGCAGTAGCATAATAAAAATAAATTTCAGTGGTGATGATTTTTTTCCAAACTGCCCATGGCGCTTGGATACATTTATAGAGGCGGGCTGCGGGGCTAAGCACTGCCATTACAGATTTATAAGACTTGACTTTGCTTGTCTTAGTCGACGAGGCATACTAGCAATGGGGGCCAACAAGTCCTGACAGATCTTACTCATACAGAAATCAGAACCGACGCAGGGGGCGGAAATATAGACTAGATATCCTATTAGACTCCGGCCCTTTCCCCTCTTCCTTTTTTGTTGAAGATTGGAACTAATACAACATCCAGCACAGGATCCCTGTCATCATGGCAAGTCTGACCAGCATCAGGAGGATATAAGAATTATTTATCAGCGGCCAAATTTCTTCTCACTAACAATACGCTTTTTTCTTCTCTCTCTGTCTTTTTTTTTTCTTTTTTTTTTAGATTCTTTCTTTTAAGGTTGTTGGAAGGATCTTGATAATCTAAACAGATTGTCCTCCTAATCTATTATCATTCTCTTATTTTTTTGATCAATGATACAATCAGTGCCCCCATATCAGCAACAATGTCTACATCACCCTCCACCAGCTCTTCGGTGCTAACCGCGGCAGAGCTGGCCGAGTGGTCACAGTCCCTCAAGCCGGTGGTGTTAGGCCTCAGTATCACTATATTAGTGCTTAGCAATATGGGCGTAATACTACGTATCTGGGCCCAATGGCGTATTCAGAAGCGCCCCATGCCGGAGGATTATTTGCTAATCATGGCCGTCATATATTTTCATTTATCCTTGCCCGCCACTCGGCATATACAAACTTAACTAAGCTTACTGACCATTCTTCTCGGCCTTTTAGCTCTTTGCCAATGTGGTCTCAATTGCCATAATTGTCACAGTGCATTATGGACTGGGATACCACCTCTTCCGGGTCGAATCCGAAGATCCGTCGGGCATAAAGTGGATCTTCCTGTGTGTGTGGCTCACAGCCACCTTCAACGGGCCCTCGATGCTGGCCACCAAGGTTGCCCTGCTCCTCTACTACCGGCGGCTGTTCATCGTGCAGCAGATCTGGCTGCGCATCTTCTGGTGGACGAACATGGTATATACGGTGCTGTGGGGCATCGGCTCGACCATCACATATATGCTCTCGTGTGTGCCCGTCAGCTATTACTGGGAGCGCTTCGACCTGCAGTCAACCGTGCATGGTAGCTGCCATAACTCTACCACCGCCGACGGCCTGCCGCTGATTCTGGACCTGGTCTCCGATGTCATGATCCTGGTGCTGCCCATTGCCACCATCGCTACCCTGCAAATGCCGCTTGCCCGCAAAACGGGGCTCATGATCATGTTTTCAGTCGGATTCCTGTAAATCCCCCCCTTCCATGGCTAAATTCCACTCTGTATCTATCCATAGAACTAATTCAACTCCGCAGTGCCATTGTATCCGCGGTCGCCCGCGTCGTCGTTCTCTACAAGTCTACGAGCCTGCACTCGGACTTCTCCTACGCGGCCGCGCCCTTCGAGCTGCTGGACGTGATCCAGCTCAACATGGCCATCGTGTGCGCGACCGCGGTGCCCATCGCCTCGGGCTTCCGTGTCGCCTTCAGCAAAAAGCGTCGCCGAGACAAGGGCTGGACGGCCGGAGGCGCAAGCAGGAATACGCACCATCATAGCCACGCCTCAGCAGCAGCACGGGCCGCACGCTTGCGACTCGAGGATGAAGCCGGCAGCAGCACCGAACGGCTGCATATGGGACACTTTACCACCAGCTGCGCCTCCAAGGACCCGGAAGATCGGACACCGGGGGGAGGCGTGGTCTCAGCGAATGGGATTATGGTGAAGATGGATGTGGATATCCGGTAGTATGAAGTAGTAGATACTGTACAAGCACATCAGGTACTGAGGCAGTAGAAATCATATCTAAATATATATACCATAATAGTAGCATACTAACCATGAAATTGATTCTCCAGTCCCACTTCTCATTCATACTAATACTACTAGTTATAGTAGTCATCATCTCCATTCCCACACTCAAGGAAAAGTTCCTACTCCACCCTCGTTGCACACCACCAAATAATTCTGGCATTATCATCCATAAACCTTGCCTTATTCCTCATATTAGTCGTCGTCTCCCCAACCTCCAACTCCGCCTGCACATCCCACCTACTCCCCGTCTTCTCCCCAATATCCCTCCACATACGCTCAAAACTCGCCACATCATGCCGATAATGCAGCATCGTCTTCTCCGTCAACCCAGTCAAATCATACACGCCCGCCACCGTACTCCCCATCTGTCTCCCACAAACCACCATCCCAACCTCCCCCCTGGTCAACCCAATCAACCGCTCCACACCACGGAGCTGCCCCTCATAATCCCAGAAATGCAGCAACGAGCCCGCCCAAATAATATCAATCTTCCCCCTCATCTTCGCCACAATCTCGGTCTTCTCCCATTCCTCGTCCGACACACCTAGATCCGCGCCCACGAACGTAGCAGGGAACGTCTCCGCATTATCACGGAACAGCTTGTACCCGAGCTCGAAGAACCCAGCTTCTAGATCAAAGCCGTATAACTGGGATGGCGGGATCGAGGCGGCGTAGACTAGATGTCGGAGCTCTTGACCGACGCAGCAGCCTGCATCGAGGAAGCCATTGGCCGGGGAGGCGCGCAGGCGGGCGAGCACGTGGTCGTAAAAGGGAAGGCGGGAGAGGTGGCAGCTTAGGAAGCGCATTTGGCCGATGCAGGGGTAAGGGAAGATTTGGAAGGCTTCATCTCGCTGTTCACACAAGTGGTTTCAGTTAGAGTTGGGGGGGGAAGGTGTAACACTTGGGGAAGGGGAAAATAGTCTTGAGGGGGGGAACTTACCAGGGCTAAGACATGGGAAATGACCTCTTCGGGTGCGAGCCCGCTGTAACTCTCCAGCATGGATTGCGCGGCGGGGTCGATGGCCGTGACGCTGGTTTGGTACCAGGCTGGTTTGGTGGTAGTGGTGGTGTCGGTAGTGGACATAATGATGGCTGAGGGGATTGTCTCAGCAGGAGGAGTCAATATTAAAGATTTGATGGGAGGGATTAGAGAGTGAATTGGGACATTAAGCCGTTGGAGTTTGATTGTAGGGGGTACTTTATTAATTAAAACCCAGAAATTCTAATGTCAATTGCATTTCCCCCCCTCCCCTCCCCTCCCCAAGGCCTGTCCTGTCTGTCCTGCAGCATCGGGGGGGGCCGCTAAAATAGTGGTACTGTGCTACTCCACTTGTCTTGTATGGTAAGGCATGTGTGCAAGGAACATGGAATCTTTAACTCCTGTGGTTGACCTGCCCAACCACCTGACTCATTTGTAGAGATTGAGACAATGCTATATACAGCTTTGCTGAAGAACTAATAACATATTAATATGAAAAAAAAAAAAAGAAAAGAAAACAGGTGACTCCGCCGGCCAGGAATGAGTCTTTCTCTCGAAGGATGCACAGCCGGAAAGAGGAGAGAGTAATCAAGAAATTGTTTAGGAACAGAAAAAAATCAACAATGCTCACATGGCACCCAAGACCAAAAGGGGTACCTAAACTAGTGCTGACACGAGCATTTAGCGTATAAAGCTTAGCCCTATATAGTACTGTACGTAGCTTGCTAATGCACACACCACCCACTCCAAGAAAAAAACGAGCCAACTCCGTCCAGCGCGCCACCCGTCGGATGCCCGTCAGCAAAGCCAACCGAATCCAAACTCTTCCGCGCTGCATCAGACTAGTTACTAGTTACTCCGTACTACGGAAGCAAACCAGACCATCCCTGCTTTTAATCAGCACTACTCGTATCAGGCTATCAGCAATCATTCATCCAGACCACCTCCACAACCGCCAACGCGCTCCCCTCCACCCGCCGGACCCCAACCCACCGGAATCGCTCATCCGCCTCCTGCAGCAACCCGCGCCACTGCGCCTCGTCCCTCTCGCGCGCATTGAGCAACAAAAACGAACGAACGAAGATGGAGCAAAAAAGTAAGTTGAATTAAGCTATTTAGAAGAGCAAAATAAAGTAATATATAAAGATACTTTATATAAAAGATCTGAGTATAATATATAATTAAGTTATATAAATATCTTAACACAGCCCCCTAGGCGAAGAAGTATATAGAAAAATATTAATTAAAATTATAAATATTTTTTAGGTAGGCAATCTTTTATATATTAAATATTATTTTCTAGATACTGCAGGAAGATAGTTAACAGGACTATTTTTAAAAAAATGTAAAAATCACAGAATTTCTTTTAATCCAGTATTTTAATAAGATCTGTTATAAATAAATAACTAGAGTGGTTATACCTGACCGTTATACCTTAACCTAACCTTAACTATAATCTGACAGTTAGGTTAAGGTATAAGAATCCTCTTAACTGTACGGTTAAGGATAGATTCTAGTAGGGAAATCCTCACAACGGGACAACAGTCAAATAAAGTCAGATCAGGTTATAAGTAGTATTATTCGATAGAGCTCTTTATAAGAAATATAGTAATATAATTTTTATTTCTTTAATCAGTTATTCTGTGGTGCTATAAGTATTTAAAGATAGAAGTATTCCCTTCTAAATATAGTTAATATATATAACAGAAATTCAATCAGGTTAGTACATGTAATAAAAATTTAAATCAGATTAGTACTCTTTTCTACAGACTCTAAATTTAATTAAGTCTATTAAATATTATAAAAATAAATATTATAATAATAAGTGTTATTCTAATGAGTATTATATAAAGTAATATATTAATTTTTTTATAATAAATCCTAAGAATTCTATATATTCTATAGTTTAGAAAGTTCAAATCATATATACTCCTTATTTAATATTAAGATGTGATATTACTAGTTAAATAATAAAATAAATAAATAACAAGCAAAATAAATAAATGAAAACATAAATTATAGTAAAAGAGTAAGTTATATTAGTAGTTATTTAAATATTTTAATAAAATAAAGTAAGAGATTATTTATAGATAGTCTGAGTATCTGATATATAATTATATCTACTCTAGTAATTATCTTAATATTTAGTATTATTTACTTTGTCTAGATTATATACTTTGAGAAGTATTTCTTTTTATAAGAAATATTAATATATTATAATCTGTATACATGCCTACAGTCACTTATAAGAAAGCAGAGGTTATGTATTAAATAATAAATTATAAAGATAATAATAATATTAAAAAAAGATAAAATAAATAAAAAAATAATATTATATTAATATATTTAGACCTGCGCAATCCCGCCAAGCCAGCGGATAGTAGAGGAAGATAGTATTATAATTAATAATTTTATTATAATTCTTATATATAGATAATATTCTTTCTACAGAAGATATAATAAAAATTAATAAATAAATTAATATTATATTTATTTTTAATATTATTTTTTTTAGTATATCTTGTCCTCTCGCCCCTCCATACAGCTGGTGAGATAGAAAGAGAGAGAAATTATAAAAAAAAAAAAAAAAATAATTTTATTATTATATTTTAATCTTTATAATTCTGCTGAGTAAATAGATGGTAGAGTAAATAATAATATTTTTATAATATTAGAATCTCTTCTCAGAGATCAGATAGTAGAGTAGATAATAATATTTTTATATTATTAAAATTTCTTCTTAGAAAATAAATAATAAAATAGATAATAATATTTTTATATTATTAGGATTTCTCCTCAGGAAATAGATAGTAGAGTAGGTAATAATATTCTTATAATACTAGAAATTCTTATACTTAGAGATTTTTTAATTATTTAATATATTTTATTAACTTATTTCTCTGCAGGACTGCTGAGCTTATATTCTAATAATTATTTTTAAATCTCTGTGATTTCTGCAGTGAACGGATGGTCAAATAGAGCTTAGAAAATAACTAAATATTATATTTACTTATAATATTATTTTTTTTAGTATATCTTGTTCTCTCGCCCCTCCGTGCGGATGGTAAGGTAGAAAGAAAAAAAGATTATAAAAAAAAAAAAAATAAATTTTATTATTATATTTAAATTTCCACAATTCCTGTAGGATTTTAATAATAAAATAAATAATAATATTCTTATAATATTTAAAATTCTCTGTTTTTTTAATATATTTTATTAGCTTATCTCTCCATGGGGCTGCTGAGTTTATATTATAATAATTATCTTTAAATCTCCGCGATTTCTATAGAGAATAAATGGTGAAGTGGATAATAATATTTTTATAATATTATAAGTTATTTATTTTTCTAGTATACTTCATTATCTTGTCTCTCTGTGCGGCTGGTGAGATACAGAGAAAAAAAGATTATAAAAAAAAAAATAATAAAAATCTAATTAAATAAATAGCTGTTACTCTAGATATTTTATAATAATTTATATTTTATAAAATTATCTTGGAGAGAATTATAAACTTTATATATTATATTAATTTTCTAGATATTATACTCTTCTTTTCAAATAAAATCAGAGTAATATAATTTATTAATATTTATTATAAATTTACTTCAGATTTGCTTTCTTAGTGTTTTGATATAGATTAAAGATAATAGACAGTATATAATTATACTGTAAAAAAAATATTCTCCAAAACAGAGAAAGAGAAAGAGAGAGATAAAATTAAAAAAAAAAGAAAAAAAAAATAATAAAAAAATATAAAATAAAAAAAGAAAGAATAGAATATATATACAGGAATATAATATTAATAAAAATTAGAAAAAACTAGAAAGAGTAGAAATAAAAAGAAATAATAAATAAAAATAAATATATATTATTATTAATATTCTACTGTATATAATAGTCTTATTATTCTTATTCTAGATCTAGAGAGATTACAGTACAGTGATTAATACTAAATAAGTATTAAAATTATACTTCTTAATCTAAAATAATTTATTATTTATTTATTAATTATATCCAGTATACTAATGCTCACATAGAAAGAAGAAGTACTATTTAGCAGACTGGCTATATTATATTAAGATTATTAAATATTATAAGATTAAGTGTTACAGGTAGTCAACTCTACTAAGCAGATAAGTTATACTATATTAAAATTATTAAATATTACAATTTTAGTTATTATAATAATTAAAATATATAATATATTTACTTTATTTTCTGAGAATTATATATATACTATATATTCTATATTCCAGAGGTTCTACTGATAGTATATATTCTAAGAGTCACAGAACATTCTAAATTAGAACTATTAAGTATTATAAGATTAAATATTACAGATGGTCAACCCTACTGACCAAGCAGGCTATGCCGTATTAGAACTATTAAATATTACAATATTAAGTATTACAGTAACTGAAATATATAATATATTTACTTTATCTTCTAAGGATCATATATCTTATATATACTATATATATAGTATATATACTATATATTCTATATTTTATATATCCCAGGGGTCCTACTGATAGTATATATCCTAAGAATCACAGAACATCCCAAATTAGGATTATTAAGTATTACAAGATTAAGTGTTACAGGTGGTCATTTCTACTAACTAAGTAAGCTATACTGCATTGGGATTATTAAATATTATAAGTTTAAGTGTTACAGCAATTGTAAAAATATATTATATTTATATTAAATTAGCTATAAATATCTAAAGAAATCTATAAGATATATTCTATTCTAGTAGGGAAATCCTCACAACGGGACAACAGTCAAATAAAGTCAGATCAGATTATAAGTAATATCATTCGATAGAGCTCTTCATAAGAAATA